AAATATATGTATATTAGAGGCTCAATATATTGTACCAAAAAGCCTTCTAATGGATTACCTAAACACCTACTTCGATCAAACTTGGTGGAGCATTTAATCGAATCTCCCTCACTCTCGAACAAAGCTATTTCTCATGTGTATGTAGAGAGAAAAGTCGGCCAGCATATCTATGTAGGAGAGATTGGGAGATGGTGTATTTATAGGCTCCATTAGGGACCTTAAGGAGATGCGAAATATGAGCTTATCCCATTTAGGCCTAGGAATCCTAATTCTACTCCAATACTAATTTAATGTAGGAAGGAGATCTCCTACTAATCTCCATCTTCTAGAAGATTCCTAAGTCTCCTAACACTAGAGGAGATCCTAGTAGGAATATCATTCCTAATTAAATTAATAATCATGGAATAAAATTAATTCCTAATTTAGGAAGCCTAATTCTACTCCAATTAATTATTTAATGTAGGAAATATATTTCCTACTAATCTCCATCTTCTAGAAGACTCCTTAGTCTCCTGATCCAAAGAGAAGATTCTAGTAGGAATTTTATTCTCCTAATTAAATTAATTAATATGGAATAAAATTAATTCCTATTTAAATGGAATTAAATAATAAAACATCCCTTTAGAGTAATATTATTGCTCTCCCCATTTAGCCACTATTTTACCAATAAAATTGAGCCTCCATGATTAAATAATATTAATTCGATTGATCGATTTACCTCCCTATGTTTAAGATATAACATCCGTTGATTAATTAAATTACTGAAAAAATAATTAATCAACTTCTTATTCATTTCCGAAATTAGTACCACTCAGATCCTTAACCATTATGTCAGACAATCGTCTACCTGTAGGGTTTAACATAATGTTCCTTCCTGAGCTCATTTCGGGGACGTCATCAATCCAGCGCACTGGAACATAGTGACCATAAATAATTTATAATAGCACATCATATAATTATTCTTACTTACCAATATACCTCGTATGTCAACCTAATAAAATAGAAATCACTTGGTAAATCGAATAAATAAGAATTAAAAATATATGTCTATTTTATATTATCTTACAGTTTAAGAGAACGCATCAATCACTGAAGGTCTAGGTTACAACAACGGTCAGTGAGTCTCATATCCTTATCCTTCCGTGGTCCTGTTCAACACTTAACATAAGTGCTAGTGTAATCCTTCAGTCAAAGACCAACTGAATCAAGAATACACTACAGTCTTTTTCCAAGAGGGGTCTCACTGCCTGTCTAGACTGTGAACGAATAGTTTAGTCTTATAAGGAACCGATAGGTGAACTTTCTGTTCGAAACTCTTCGAACCACACTATCTCAATATAAGACATGGAGTATGATTTGCATAAATAAATAAATTGAAAACATGTGTACTTTGACCGAAACATGATGGCCAGATCAAAATAGAATTGATAGAATCTGCAAAACATAGCTTTTACAGCATACCTCTAACAATCTCCCACTTATGCTTTATAAGCTCATGGCTAAACAAAATAACCACAATTTCTTTCAATCTAATTCTCAAAAACTAGTCTACTATGTGACCCTAACATCTGACTCCCATTCCTTCTACGTGTCTTGTAAAGACTTTCGTCGGTAGGCTATTCGTAAAAGGATCTGCTAGGTTGTCCTCTGATTTTATCTTGGCAACAACGACTTCTCCTCGTCCAATGATTTCTCGTATCAGGTGGTACTTGCGCTCTATGTGTTTACTCACTTTATGAGTCCGTGGCTCCTTCGAATTTGCTACTGCTCCGCTGTTATCACAGAACACTGTGATTGCAGTGGGCAAACTCGGTACCACATCAAAGTCGAGGAGAAAATTCCTGAGCCAGACAGCTTCTTTCGCTGCCTCTGAGGCTGCTACATACTCAGCCTCCGTGGTTGAGTCCGCCACGCATTTCTGCTTGACACTCCTCCATGCTGTGGCTCCTCCTCCTAAAGTAAACACAAACCCTTAGGTTGACTTGCTTTCATCTCGATCTGCTTGGAAATCAGAATTGGTGTAACCCAACGGAAGCAATTCATGTGCCTGGTAAATCAACATGTACTCCTTAGTCCTACGTAGGTACTTGAGTATATGCTTTACTGCAGACCAATGTTCCGGTCTTGGATTACTCTGATATCTTGCTACCATGCCCACGACATAACAAATATCAGGTCGCGTGCACAACATAGCATACATGAGGCTTCCTACTATCGATGCATAAGGAACTGCCTTCATGTCCTCTACCTCTTGAGGCGTCTTCGGGGACATCCTCTTAGATAGAGGTATTTCGTGCCGAAAAGGGTAAATCCCCTTTCTTGGAATCCTGCATGTTGAAATGCTTTAGGACAATGTCTATGTATGTGGATTGGGATAGACACAACTTTCTCTTCTCTCGGTCGCGAATGACCTTGATTCCGAGAACATGTCCTACTTCTCCCAAATCCTTCATATCAAACTGCTTGCATAACCAAACCTTTACGGCTGATAACATTTTCACATTGTTTCCAATGAGAAGAATATCATCCACGTACAGCACTAGAAACACCACCTTTCCATCACTTTTCTTGTACACACAGTGCTCATCCGGACATTGGGTGAATCCATACGATTGGACAACCTCGTCAAAACAGATGTTCCAAGACCTCGAAGCCTACTTCAGCCCATAAATGGACCTCTTCAGCTTGCAGACCAGATGCTCTTGGCCCTTTGCAATGAATCCTTCTGGTTGTTGCATATAGATGTCTTCGTCCAAATTCCCGTTAAGGAAAGCGGTCTTAACATCCATTTTCCAAATCTCATAATCCATATGAGCGGCCACAACCAAGAGAATCCTGATGGATTTGAGCATGGCTACCGGCAAAAAAGTTTCCTCATAATCGATCCCTTCTTTCTGAGTGTACCCTTTCGCAACAAGCCTAGCTTTGAAGGTCTCAACCTTCTCATCTGCTCCTCTGTTTCTCTTATAGACCCACTTGCATCTAATGGCGCGAACGCCACTGGGTGGCTCTACAAGATACCAGACTTGATTAGAGTCCATGGACTCTATTTCAGATTTCATCGCCTTTTGCCAAGACTCTGTTAGAGGTATGCTGTAAAAGCTGTGTTTTGCAGTTTCTATCAATTCCATTT